AATGGATAAATTTTAATGTGAAATGTAACATTTTATGAAACGTATTACGTAGCAACTGCACTAAACAGTAAATGAGATAAATTTGAAAAAAGTTGTAAATTTCACAAATAACCTCTCAATCGATTATAATGGATTAAATTGGCATAAAAAATATAAAGATTATAATCCATTTTTAATGGATTTTAATCGATGATAATGGATTATATTGACCTAAAAAATTTTAGGATTATAATCCATTTTTAATGGATTATACTCAATTATTTTGTAAATTTTTAGATACTGACCATGTTATGTCAATATAATCGATAATGATAGATGGGTGCTCGGTGCGGGAATTGTCCCAAGTTGGCCAAAATGGCAATGTTTAAACCCCAATAAATTTACGAAAAATGATCAAAGGTGAAATATCTTTCCAAATTTAAGCTCAGGACAGCAATAACTTTTGAATGATATTAAGAAAATTCCGTTAAAAATGGCTAGTTAAAAAGTCGAAACTTATCTGAAGAAAAAAAACCCACCCCGAGTACAAATATTCCGTTACTTTCGTTACGAAAGTCGGAACAAAAAAATTCCTCAATCCAACAAGAGAAATAAATAATTAATCACCCTGGAACAAATCTTATGGAATAAATAAACTACTCTGGAAAAAGAAAACTAGCATGAGAATCGGTGAAACTGGGTTAAAGTTTCTAAGCAATTGTTTGAAACCTGCAAGCGCTTGTATCTCGTTTTCAGTTGCCGTAAAGACCCCCACACTTTGCAATCACTTATGAAGTTACACAATGAACAACACGTGCATTTGGGCAGCCACTTCCTGGAAGAGTGGAATCACTACTTGAGTATAGGACTCCCGGGTCATAATATGGACATAGTGGCCTCCGGAGGAGAAGGAGGGGCGAAGGCAGGGAAGCAGAAACGCAGTTCGTGTCGAGGCAGGAACCGGATAGTGATTGCGGCTAATAAGTATATGAAGAGTATCGCAAACATCAATCTAGGTGGGTGCAAACGTCGATTGGCTAGTTGAAGAAATTCCCTAGTCATTATTGGGAGAAGGGCGGACGGTAAGTGACATGAGTGGGGGAGGGGAGAAGTTGATGCGAAAGATTGATTCTAAACTGGAGCAAAGTTTTTTTTGTCAGCTTCTACTGAAACTTGCTTCTTTTTAGATGCAACAGAGGAGGAAGTGATGGATAAACTGAGAAATGGATCTATTCCTGTCACCAGTTTTGCAGCCGACGAATAAAAACTTCACAATGAAAATCACTTAATTGTTTTCTTCAAAAAAACTAATTTATATCATTCTGAGAATAACGAACAATTCCACGTGACTTACACTGAGTATACCGATTTTGTTGCCAACACAGATACCGATTTTGTTGCCAACACAGGAAAAATGAGGGTAATGATGGGACTGGTTGGGGTGTTTTGTGTTGAAAGAAACGGAACTGCACAACCCGTTACATTATAGCTGCTCCCATTACATAGCTGCTCCCGTTACATTATACAACTTAATCATGTTATATGTTTCAGAGTCAAAATTCAAGGTCAAAGAACATTGAATGCCATTTAGCGACGAGAGTAATTTTTTCTTTTCAATCGCAACTTTTAATTCTTCCCTAGGCAAAAACAGTCAGTGAATTTAACTCAAAATTTTTTGTACAATCGTTTCCGTAGCTAATATTAGAACGCAAAATATATATATATATATGAAAAAATTTAAAAAGAAATTATAAAAATACGAAAAATTTTAACCTTCGTAAACTTGTCAAGCTGTTATCTCGAATTTTTTGACCAACCCCCCCCCCCCTCCTCTCACTAAGAAACCTGCCATAGAATCCCCACCCCCCTCATTGTACTGTTTTTGTTCTGCTATCTTTCTGATCAGAATAAAATCAGAAGTTATGTTTTGATAATCCTCTGATCAGAATAAAATCAGAGGCTTTGTTCCGATTCTTCTCTGATCATAATGAAATCATAAAATTTGCTCTGTTATTTCTATGACAAGAAAAAAAGTCAGAGATGTTTTTCTGTTATTTCTATGATCAGAAATCGATTCAGAAAAAAATCAGAACAGCAATATTTTTTGTATGAAAAAAAATCTCAAAATACAAAATTACGCGCCTAGGCACAAGCGTAAGCTCAATAAAATTAATTGGTTGGGCTGATTTCAAAAACTTTTTGGTTCTCCTATTGAAGGTTAATCTAAGATTTTCTGAAAAAAAAATTGAAAAATTCCAAGGAACTCTCCCATTGAAAACTCTATTGTAAAACAAAAAAAGTTAGACTAGTTATGATTAGAACAAACTCAAAAGAAACTATAAAATAAAATTGCACAATAAAATTATAAACAATCAATGAAATAGCGCGTAACTAATAATCATCGAAGAAAAAAAATCAGAATGAAAAGTTTCAAAAATTTGTAATGATTCACAATCTTGAAGCAATTTTGGGCAAATAGATTAGATAATTTAAGCAAAGATCCTATGCAACAATGAAAATAACTAGCAATCATCAGTTTTTGGTATGAAAAATAAAGCAAACTTTTCAAAATTTTTATGATTGAAGCTTTCAAAAATAAAATAAGATTAAAGTTTTCAAAAAAATATATTTTAGCGAAAATTGCCGTATTTCCAGGCAATTTAGTTGCTCAATCCTTTCAATAGCCAACGCTAACACATTTATATTTTTTCACAAAAAACTGTGTTTTTAGGTTGTTTTCAACTGATTTTTAGGTGTGTGGGGAGGCATTAATTTAAAAAAAAAACGTTTTTTTTTCTTTCATATTTTTACCGAAAACTGCCGTGTTTCCAGGCAAATTTAGCTGATCAAACCTCTTAACTTATAACGCAAACCAACTTATATATTTGCAGAAAAAAACTGCGTTTTTAGGTTGTTTCTAGCACAATAATTATACTTTAGGCTATTTTAATGAATTTTTTCTTTTTGTAACGACTCGTAACAAAACTTTGAAATCAAATCGAAATGCCGTAAAAAAAGTTTCCAGTCATGTTTCAGAATAAAAACAAATTAAAACAGTGCTGTAACAGGAGTTCAATAGTTTTAGAACAATACTGACAATTTTTTTTTCCTGTTCAATCTCTTGGTCAGGTGAAACTCAGAGTAAAACACTGATTTTACACTGATATAGGACTGAACTTTGTTTTACAACTGTTGTTTTGCTTGAACAGTACTGATAGCCTCTGTAACTCCAACCCCGGCACGTAATAATTTTGAAAATTGATTTCGTAAAAAATTTTCATTTCAAACAAAAGCGCAGAATAGACAACTTGAGAAAACTTTTCAAAAGGAATAACTATTTTATACTGTTAATTAACCAAAATATTCATAGATGCTTTTAAATTAATTTTCTGACAGCTTAGATCAATTTAGTTTGCTAAGTTGAGATATGAAAAATCAGTATTTTATCCTCCGTAAATCGAATATGGGGGGAGTTGTAAGGTTGATCCACGAGAACTTTCATTAGGGTAGTCTTTTGGGTCATAGAACTTTTCGGCAAGGTTATAATAATAATATAATAAACATTTTTCAATGTTTACTCTAATAGAATCTTCTATGAAACAAAAACAAGCAAAACAAAACTGCTCGTATCAAGGCGAAGCCCTGGATGTTCCGAGTGCCTTTTAAGGTTTATGGAGCAGTAATAAAATTAAAAAATTAAATGAAATTTAAAAAAATGAAAAAAAAAATATTCTAAATTTTTTATGAAACCATCCCCCCACACGCCATATACAGTACAAAAGAAACAAAAGCATCTAATTTGCTCCTTGTTACAAACCAATTATGACAAATAGGCTATTTTCAACCAATTTGGAAAGATTTCTACGACGGATTAACTCTCCGCTTACGCGTTAATAGCGCGAAATATATCGCGCGTTAATTGTCACAAATTGGCCAAAATGGAATCTTTAAACCCCCGTAACTTTACGAAAAATGATGACAGGTGAAATATCTTTTCAAATTTGAGCTCAGGACAACAATACCTTTCGAATGATTTTAAAAAATTCCGTCAAAAATGGCTAGTTAAAAAGTCGAAATTTGTCTGAAGAAAAAAAAACCCACCCCGAGCCCAAATATTCCATTATTTTCGTATCGAAAGTCGGAACACTAATTGACAGACAATAGATTGGGAAGACGCTACTAGACGTGAAGGTCTGTGTTTAAGCGTCTGTTTTCAAGATAAACTATCTCTGTCTTAAAAATGCTAAGTAGAAATAAATGTATGCAGCTGCTTAGCTTCTTCAGTGATTTTATGTTACTTTCTTTATGCAAACGAGCTTGCGAGCATCAGTTTATACAATTAGTCTTATTTTTTATCCAACCTCAGCCGCCCGTTTGGGCGAAAGTGATTCCGTTTTTATGGTGTTTTCCTATTTCTGAGATCCTTCGTTACAATTAAAACAAACATGCCTAAAAATTGTTCATTATACGCTCAAAATTATCTAAGTACCCTCCAGAAAAACCATTTTTTAAAATGAAAGTTAAAAGTGGGTGTTAGAAAAATGAAAAGAAAAAACAGCAATTTCTATTTTTATCCGCCCAGATCAAGGTCAACGTGAACTAAGCTTAAGCCTAGAGCCCATTGCTTAGTGGTTAAGACGAGTCACTCTTTGAGTTTTAATCGATCCGATTTGCGACAAAATCGAAGAAATATTCAATTCTTTTCAATTTTTTCGATCAATTTTTAATATTTTAAATCAAAAATTTTTTGATGGGCAAGGCAGCCGGAACATTTGAAAGGGCAGTCGAAGCATTCAACTTTTGCCGATGCGGGCAGTTTTGTTTTGTTTTGAAGTTTGTTTTCTGGCTTTTTGCAGTTATCCTTTCACGCCGTTTTAAAAATTACTTAAGTCATTTTCGCTCATTTTGGGTAGTTCAGCTTCGGATTTTTGTAGAGAACCTAACGATCACTCAATCTGTGCCCATTTTCAAGTGTAACTGTTTAACTTGTCTTCAAAACAACTATTATAGATTTCTGTGAATTTTATATAGGATTTAAAATAGATGCAATGCCATATAAATGAAATTTGTAAGTCATCTCGAGAAATGGATAAAGCCCAAAACAGCATGAATTCCAAAACGCCCAAATTCCATGTTACGATGCGTTGACGCCGACAACAGATGAGTCATCAATGTGACCATCAATACATCCGTTGTTCTTATACATGAGACAATCAATACATCCGTAGTTCTTCCTTATGCCTGTGCTGGTCCTACCTTCGCTTCGCAAAGAGCATTGTGCAGTTCAGATCCTACACAAGCGAAGTCGTCCAGTCCTAGATGATTTGGGTCTCCAGGGTAGCCCTGGGCTACGCACTGCTCGTCAAGCTCATCAGTCCGATCTCCTGGCTGCGATGCAGATCGCCACAACTCATCTGGCATCACCTGGAGTGGATTAAGCGTTCAATTCTAAGAATTCGATGACTAATTATTTAACTTTGGTTCTTGGCAGTTTCCCTAAGTTTCGGTAATTTCTCTAGTTTTCTATTAAGATGTCACGGTACCAAATTAGACACAGAATGGTTTTTTCTAATTTTTTAAAAACATTGTGTTGTCGAATCCAGGGTTGGCCATAATATGAAACCAAAAGTCACACCATATATTCCATAGAAGACAAACGATGATCGGCGTACAAAATTGTTAAAATAAACAAATTTTTCATAGTTGGTCCGACTTATGATTGCACATTTTTTGAATCGGATCCCTTTTGAATGACCTCAAAACATGGTGTCTTCTATGAAACGTAGGGTTTCTATGGAACCATATATGGTGCCGCGTATGACATCTATGACTTTTCTGCTGTGCGAAGTCAGTATATTTTTACCCAATGGCGGTCGACTTTTTGCAATCCGTGTTCGGGAGTGAGTAAAAAAACGAGACCCTCTTCACCCGTTTACATTTTCTGAATAAGTTAACCTGGCGTTCGGTTCGGTCAACGAACTGCGATCGGTCTTTTCGGATGAGTGAATTGTTGGCAGACAAGGTTCCGTCTTCCTCCAATGGAGCTGGCTCATCCCTTCGGTAGTTGACCCAGAAGCCGGGCTGGCCTGTAGTTGAAATGCCCTTGGACACAGCAAATTTCACCAGCGCCTGTTAAAAACAAACAGTGTATTATTCGTTTAGCTGATTTCCAGATGAATTGGACCACTCTGGCTTAGATTTGCAGTGTCTTGTGGAGAATATTGATCGTAGGCCGTAGCGTTCTTTTTAAACAATTTTTGCGCTTGTTTTAGCATGAAAACCCTCCTGTAACCTGTAGATTTTAGGTCCGATACCCTCCCTACATTTTCCTACTACTGAATAAAAAAACCCACCCCAAGTATATATATATATTCCTCACTTTCTTTGAAAGACAGAACAATAATAGCTATTTTCGAGTTGTAACAGTTTTATGATGAACACACAGCAATCTTTTCATTCATACATACATACACACATGTATGTATGTATGTATGTATGTATGTATGTATGTATGTATGTATGTATGTATGTATGTATGTATGTATGTATGTATGTATGTATGTATGTATGTATGTATGTATGTATGTATGTATGTATGTATGTATGTATGTATGTATGTATGTATGTATGTATGTATGTATGTATGTATGTATGTATGTATGTATGTATGTATGTATGTATGTATGTATGTATGTATGTATGTATGTATGTATGTATGTATGTATGTATGTATGTATGTATGTATGTATGTATGTATGTATGTATGTATGTATGTATGTATGTATGTATGTATGTATGTATGTATGTATGTATGTATGTATGTATGTATGTATGTATGTATGTATGTATGTATGTATGTATGTATGTATGTATGTATGTATGTATGTATGTATGTATGTATGTATGTATGTATGTATGTATGTATGTATGTATGTATGTATGTATGTATGTATGTATGTATGTATGTATGTATGTATGTATGTATGTATGTATGTATGTATGTATGTATGTATGTATGTATGTATGTATGTATGTATGTATGTATGTATGTATGTATGTATGTATGTATGTATGTATGTATGTATGTATGTATGTATGTATGTATGTATGTATGTATGTATGTATGTATGTATGTATGTATGTATGTATGTATGTATGTATGTATGTATGTATGTATGTATGTATGTATGTATGTATGTATGTATGTATGTATGTATGTATGTATGTATGTATGTATGTATGTATGTATGTATGTATGTATGTATGTATGTATGTATGTATGTATGTATGTATGTATGTATGTATGTATGTATGTATGTATGTATGTATGTATGTATGTATGTATGTATGTATGTATGTATGTATGTATGTATGTATGTATGTATGTATGTATGTATGTATGTATGTATGTATGTATGTATGTATGTATGTATGTATGTATGTATGTATGTATGTATGTATGTATGTATGTATGTATGTATGTATGTATGTATGTATGTATGTATGTATGTATGTATGTATGTATGTATGTATGTATGTTTGTACGTACGTACGTATGTATGTATGTATGTATGTATGTATGTATGTATGTATGTATGTATGTATGTATGTATGGAGCATATTGACGTGGGTTTCAACAGTATGAACTAATTAATCAAAGTATGCAAAGTAGAAAAAAAACAGATTATATTTTGGCACGAATCACGTAAATAGAGATTGCTGAAATTTACTTATAAAATCATTTTGGCAAGAATAATTGATTCCAACCCGGACCAAATAGTTTGTTTACTTCTGGAAGCAACTACCGAATTTCAAATCTAAATTTTTGGCCATAATTTTTCTTAAAGTTTTTGTTTATTTCTAATCTAAGTTCTATTTTTCTATTTCTAATCTAATTACTGATTACTGATCAAAAATTAGCAAAATCTAGACAATTTCTGCTGCTGGTATTTGAACTCCCTCCTCACGTTAGCTTGATCTCTAGGCATTAACCTCTAGGCCACATAACCTAAGAGAAATTAATAGTGGTAACAATCTAATGTGCAAAGCAACACTTTGTATAACAAATGTCAAATTGCATTAATTTGGTTTGACTATTGAGTGTAGTAAAAGCATGTAAAATCTAGCAGTGAACTGATTTTACATTATTAATTCAACTTTGCAAAAAACTTTGCTCTATCAGAGTAATTTAAAAACCTTAGTCTGCATGTCAAATCCACCACAAACTTAGTCAATGAATGTAAAATCTACGTAAAATCTAGCGGTGAAACGGTCGAGCAGTGAGATGATTTTACGTTATTGTTTCGACTTTGTAAAAACTTTGCTCTATCTGATTAATTTAACAACCTTAGTCTGCATAATTAATCCACAGCAACCTTAGTCAATGAATGTAAAATTTCCGTTTTAGCGTGAACAGTTTATAGGTTATTGTTTCGACTTTGCAAAAACTTTGCTCTATCAGATTAATTTAAAAACCTTAGCCTGCGTGTAAAATCCACATCAACCTTAGTCAATGAATGTAAAATCTACGCTTCGGTTTTTAGCGTGAACAGTTTATAGGTTATTGTTTCGACTTTGCAAAAACTTTGCTCTATCAGATTAATTTAAAAACCTTAGTCTGCAAGTAAAATCCACCACAACTTTAGTCAATGAATGTAAAATCTAAGTTTGGGTTGAGCAATGAACTGATTTTACGTTATTGTTTCGACTTTGCCAAAAATTTGCTCTTTCAGATTTTTTAACAACCTTAGTTTGCATGTAAAATCCACATCAACCTTAGTCAATGAATGTAAGATCTACGCTTCGTTTTTAGCGGTGAAACGTCAATAGATTTTTGTTTCGACTTAGCAAAAATTGTACTCGGTCAGATTATGAGTTAAAAACTTCCCACAAGCAATTAAATTGGATTAAATGTGATATGCGTTGCATGCAAAAAGGCTCGATTCTGATTGGTTGAAACTTCAACTTAGAACCAAGTTAATTTCCCTTTAAAAAACTGCTTGGGGCGGATGTTAATTTGGTCTGCATTATCTGTTATTCTGCTTGCTTAAAGAACATTTAAGTTCGCTTTTTTCTGTGCGCATTCTTGATTTTTTTTCTGGTCTTAAAGGTCTTTTTTCGTAGCCTTTCTCTAGTGCATGCGAACTAAGGGGAGCGGTGGTGGAGTGGTTACGTCTCCGCCTCTCAATCGAAAGATCGGATCTTCGAGGCCCACCATGATCCGTGCTCGTTGCTTGAGGGTGAAGCAAAATTACCCAGCCCAGAAAAATAACCAAAAAAATTGCATGTAGTTCTTAAACAGGGGCACAACAGCGATTCGCCGTGATGAGCTGTACAGCTCTTGTGTTGGTCCTTTCCCCCGTGGATAAATGTTCTTAATCTTACAAATACGCTTTGAGTAACTATGAAGGAAGTATTGTTGTTTACCTCAAGCTCTCCAAGTGTCTTTGGAGTGACAATCTGTGCGACTGCATCCCCTGTAAGAGTTATATCCATTTAATTAATCAATTTACAAAAGTTCAAATGAAAATTTTTAACTTAAATACAACAATTTAAAACCATTAAAAGTGTCAGGATTGGACATAATTTTTTCTGGATTCTTAGTTTCGTTCGCGAGCGCTCATGTTATGAGTTTTTTAAAACTTTGGTGAGTTTTTTTTAAGAATGGTTGCAAATTTTTGAAAATATTTAAAATATGAAAAATGTAATGATAATTCGAATTTTCAACAAACTATTTGAATAGGAGTGAAGTTATTTTTGTACTTTTGTTGACAATTTTTATTTAAAATTCTTATATTTTAATATGTACATCACTGCCCTGTAGTAATAGACATGAGGCAATACATGCTGGCACTGGGGTACTCCATTCTGCCCACATCTAGCAACTGGTAGCATGTATCTTTTGCTCCCCCTTCTACTGTCTCAAAGGCAAGGGGGCAGTCGTATTGAAGTGCATTTGAAAAGAGGCAGACGAATAATACTCCTAGAAGCATTGGCTTCACACTTTTCGACATGATTTTGCTCTCTCAATTAACTGAAATGGTATGGAAATTTTGCTACAGTAGGATAATATCGTAGGCCCTAAAACTCTTAAAAAATTGTTGAAATACAAAAAACAATTAACCCGGAAAATTATTAGAGTAAAAAAAGATCTTGATTATCGAGAAATTATGCATTGGAAGGCTTGAAAGCAAAAAACCAGAGTTGTGAAAAGATAAAGTTAGTTTAAAATCTGAAGTATTTGAAAAGAGTTTAATGAGCTAAATGTGGTTGCAATGGAACCATGCGGACAAAAAAAACAGGTGGACAAAAAAAAACAGATATTAAAATTAGTTTTTCTCGTAAGAACATCGAAACATCTTTTCAAACATTAAGGAGAACCATTTTATTCATCAAGAGCTGCGCAAAAAGTCCGACGAATTGTTTTTTACCAGTTGTTTGAATTCAAATTAGTTTTTTAATTCTTAATCTCATGTTTTGTGGCACTTAACTTTTGTTTTTTCCCCAAAATATGTAAATGATAATAATTTACCCTTTTGATGGATCCTGCTTTGTCTCTTCGCTATTCTTAATTTTTTTTTTTGACAAGTAGTATTTAAGAGTTATGATTACAAAAATGAATAAACTCTAAGTGTTGTCGACTTTTTGACGAACAAGTGCGGTACAGCGTGTGTTTTAAATGCTCTTCAAGTCAAACTGGTGAAATTATAAGGATGCTTTTTGAACCGAAAGTATAGAGAGTATCTCTAAAGGGCGGATCTCTGGTTCAGATCCCACTCCGTTTGCTAGCCTTTGATTTATCATCCGAAAAGCTGTTTGAAGATCTTGTTTTACATTCTCTTGAAAACTCTTATATTTCCTACTTAACCAATCAAAGCTTAGCGTTATTATATTATGTTGAAATTTTTTCCAGGGTTCGCAAATTGCACATTTTAGCTCGGAGTTTTGCTTTTGATCCATTTTTAGGCCTCTTTAAATCCGCTGGTATCGACTTAGTTTTGTTTTATAAAAACTCAATCCATTCTGACGAAATTCTCAACGAGGGGTTTCAATTTACTCCCATCTAGAAGCGTAGAGCACTAGAAAAAAGGGACCAAGCTAACATCCCCCCAAGCCGTTGGGGGGGAGGATGCTAACTTGGTTCTAAGTTGGAATTTTTCAGCCAATCAGAATAGAGCATTTTACATGCAGCGCTTAGCAAATTTAATTTATATTGAGCGCTGGGGTGGAGGATCTTAACTTGGTCTATTTGGGGGGGGGGATGTTAATTTGATCTGAAAAAAGTTAATCTGAAATATTAAAAAAACGAATGAACTCCAATTATACAAGTGTGGTATAGCGTGTGTGTTTTCAACGCTCTTCAAGTCAATGTGGTGAGCGTGAAAGCGTTAAGATACTTTATGAAACAAATTTAGAGAACCAACTTTTAGAAGGCAAATCTAGACGTAGTCTAACTTCTCCGTAAAACATCTTATAAGTCTTCTTTAACCAATCGAAGCTAAGCATTTCATTGTGCTAGCAGGGTTTGCAAATTTTTCTTACGTGTGCATTTAGTTTTCACCTTGTACATTAGTTTGAAATTCTGCCGTTGATCTATTTTTTGGCCTCTCGAAAAAAGTATAAATTAATTCGTTTAAATAGATCTTGTTTCAATCTGATGAAACTCTCAATCAGGGAGGGTATTAACTAATTGCTAGCAAGCCCGCCTCCTATTGGCTCGCAAAAAATTGTTTTGATCAAGCTATCTAAGCGATGAAACTTTGAAAAAGTTGAAGCTGAGCATATCGTAAATTGGTTTGAAAAACTTTAGGTTTCGTAGAACGAATCGGTTCCCAAAAAATTGAAGTTTTTCTCAGCAAGCTATTCAAGCTGAAACTTTGAAATAATTCAAAATGTTTCGTTAAGCGAATTGGAAGGCGAAACTTACGGTTTTTCTATGAAAGCATTTCAAGCGATGAAACATTAAATTATTTAAAGTTGTTTCAGAGAGCGAATAAATTTCACATTGCTCGATAGAGCGAATCAGTTGGCGAACTTTGAAATAATTCATATTACTTCACACAGAGAACTGGTTTGCAAAAGATTCAAGTTTTTTTAATCAAACTATTAGAGCTTTGAAATTTGGAACTATTTTAAGGTTTTTCTTGAATGAATGCTATTAATATTATGATTTGAAACATTTTAGAACGAATTGGTTCAAGAAAAGCTAATGTTTTTTTTTTCAAGCAAGCTATTCAACTTATACACCTTTGAAACCAACTACAGCGAATCGGATAGCGAAAATATGAATTTTTTTTACGCCACTAAAAACCAAAGAAACTTTGGTTTTTTGATATTAGTTCATAAACTTAACCGGATAGGAACTATTTCAAGTTTTTCTACTGAAGCCAATCACGCGATGAAATTTTTTAACTATTTCAAGTTATTTGGCAGATCAAAGTGATTAGCAAAGAAAAAAGAATTTTCGGCATGCTAGCTATTTGGCCTAAGCTTTGATACGCGTCAACTTAACTCATAGACCGAATCGGTGCTTGAAAAACCTATGTTTATCTTGAGCAAGCTATTCAAATTATGAAATTTTGAATTATTTCAAG